CAGGAAAAAATAAACCTCAAAGAAGGAAGCAACTAGTCTTACTCATTTGGGACACAATGAAACCCAGGATTAAGACTGGGAGTCCATGAATAACACGCATTCCAGTTAGAACATTCAGGATTCCAGTTAGCACTATAAGAGTAAAGGGACAGTACAACCTTGATCAGGGCTTTTTGCAGTCATTAATATTGAGAGTTCCTTTTTTGTGGGGTTTGTTGCGGGGCGGATTGTGTAGATCTAACCCAGAAGCACTTTACCACAGAGCTATATTCCCAGCCCGTTTTATTTTGAGACAGGATCTCATTAAATTGCCCAGGCTGAGTCTGAACTTGCAATTCCACCGCTTTAGCCTCCTGGGTAGCTGGGATTACAGGAGTACACCTTGACAGCAATATATCCAGGATCCTATTACTCGTATTCAATGGGTCCAGGCTAATAATGTAGTTCTCAAGCTTTTTTCAGAAGTGGGTCATCTAACAAGGAAAAGATCCAAATCCTTTTAATTTAATTCTAATGGCAGGGATTTTAGGCACCAAATCCTCATGAAGAAAGTATAACAGTGGTGATCCAATAGCAGCTTTCCCAAAATGACAGAAGGAATCACTATTACATACATGATGATCTACAAAACAGTGGCTCTAAAAGCTTCTGAGAAAAACATGGTGAGCAGTATCCCTTCGTCATTCACACGTGCAAGGTTAACAATTTGCTTAGTTCTTCGCCTTTGTAAGACTGCCCTACTCCTACCATATTTTCTCGATTCTAAGTCTCACCTTCAGAGCTTCATTTCGTGTATGACAGAGCAAGCTCTTATGAACCAGTCTAACAGTTAACAGCTATAAACTTTCAAAAAAAAAAAATACAAAAAACCACCTGAAGGTACTGAAGACTGAACAAAACCCAGGCAAATTCTGGACAGAAGTTGAAACTGGAACAAGAGAATAGCACAAAGTGAGTTTCCCACCTTTATGGCTTTTGGGGTTGATAGACAGCTGCAGTCTTTCTGGCTGAAGAATCAAGAGAACACCATAGAAAACAGCAACTACAGATGCTGGAAAGTAACAGTGGAAATCAAAAGAGAGCCAGAGAAAAACAAGCAGTGCCTTAAATTCTGTGTATAATCTCCACCCAAATCATGGGTTTATGCCTTGAACTATGTGCAGGACAGTCTCCAGCTAAATATAAAAGAATTGAATTGAGAGTTGAGTTGCTGCTCATGAGAGTTTATAAATCAAGTCCAATAAAGTTAAACGTCAACTAACAAATTAAGAACTCAGCATTCTTCAGAAGAATATAAGAGGATCCACAACACAAACATTTACAAAGTTCAGGACTTAATCTAAAATTACTCAACATATGGGGGCCAAACCAAACCAAACCTGACATATTCTATAAAGAAAAGATAAACAGTAGAGGCTAATTTTGAGATTATTCAGATGATGTCTTTACCAGAAAAGAATTTTAAAGTAGTTTTTATAACCATGTTCAATGAAGGAAAACATGGTTATAGTGAATAAAAAGAGGCAATCTCAGTAGAGAAATAGAATTAAAGGGAAAGTATAGCACTAAAAGGTAAAATATCCAAAACCAAGTCTTTACCTCTATTTCAGAAACACTTCTTAAATTTATTTCCTTCATTCCTTCATTTTTCTTTGATCCTTTTGCCTTCAGAACTGGATCAATTTAGGACTGAAAAGAGACTGATTTACCTTTGACTCTCCTACAAAGGCACAAATCAGACCCACAGTTACTATTCTGATGACAAGAGCGATGGGAATAGCATAGTAACTCATATTCAAAATTACCTCTGTTTAGTAGAAGATTCTGTTTCCAAGAATATTTTTCTTTGATGGTACTGGGGATTAAAGGCAGAGCCCTGCACATGCAAGGAAAATGCTCTACCACTGAGCTATATCCTCAGCCCTTTTCAGAATTTTACTTTGAGACAGGGTCTCTCTAAACTGCCCCAGACCGAACTTGCAATACTTCTGCCTCAGGCTTCGGGCAGCTGGGATCACAGGCTTGCAATACCACACCCAGCTTTTCCAGTGTCCAAAACTAAGTGGCAAACTTCTTACTGATAGTGTAGGAGGCTATTTTTGCTCTCCGGGAAGATTTGACTTGAGAGGTAGAAAGAATTTAGGGATGTTTGAAGGATTATTATTATTATTTTTTTTTTTTTTTGAGAGAGAGGATCTCACTATGTGGTCCAGGCTGGCCTCGAACTTGTGTGGGGATCCTCCTGGCCTTAACCTCCTAAATGCTGGGATTACAGATGTGCGGCACCATGCTGGGGTTAAAGATTTTATATACGGGTATTTTCACCTAGGTTAAACTGAGCTTTTCCTTCAGAGAGCCCTGTTATTTAATGTCAGGCCTGATACAGGCTCCTACACGGGCAAAATTTTTTCTTTAGAACATAAAACTTAAGCTATGAAATACTCCCACAAAGAACCTGTAGGAGACAGGTTACATACAAATAGGGAGTGTTTTTATGAGGAGAAAAGTGACGTTTTGAGAGAAGGCATCACCCTTTCTCAAGTGATATCCACATGGAATTACTGGAAGGAAGTACTGGACCAGATAACCCCAGGTCTGTTTTGGGTCTCATTCTGGTTGCTCCCTCCTTCGTTCACAAAATTCTACATACACACTTCACAAACAGAGTCAACTTCCCAGCTCCAAAGATTCTTGGGATTATCAAAAACAGACAGGAAAGGGCACAAACTGACTCCTGTATAAAATGACAACCCTTGTGGTCACAAAAAGTGACAACAGCCATAACAAGAAAGATTCTCAAACAAACCTGAAATGGTTAGTTTTAAAAATGGACAGAACAGTTTCTCCAGGCATAAGGAGTATGATTATTTCATTCAAATAAAACAAACCAACAATATCCAACAAGAATGCAAACTCTCAAAGAATGTTCTTAGTAATTCTGTAATGTCTAACACCTAAACTCAGTTTTCAGTGTTAAAATGGACCCTTGTCTCTTCTAGTTAAGGCCTGATTAATCACTCTACAGAGGAAAATGAAAAAAGTATAGAAGCTGAAAAACTGTAAAACTTCTATTTATCACAGACCTACTATAAATATGACCACACATCATCCAATGATACAAAATTCTAGAAACTTTACAAAATTCCTTTTTAAAATTTATTTTTTGTTATCAAAGAGAATGTCCAGAAACATTGAGTACTAAAGAATTTGTTCATGGCATTACTTTACAAAAGTTCCTAGTAGAGAGTGAATTATTTTATTTTCTGATGTATCCTTCACTTATTAATGATGAGGTGAATGAACTGATGCAATTACTTAAAAAAAAAGATCCAGACAATCCTATAAAGGGAAAAACATCCATTCTCATTTTGAATCTGTTGATTGGAGTGAATTCAGTGGTCACAACACCACCACTGGCTAACGATCAACTTCCCCATGGTTAGGGAACTAGTTCGGGTCTTCTCAGTAAGTCACACAGGTCTCTCAGATATAGGCACCATGTTTGAAATCTCACACAAAATGTCTGTGTCACTTAAATTACACAATGTGGCAGTGTTTGGTTCATGGGGACATAATATTTAAAGAAAGGGCAAAGTAGAAAACAATCTGCTTGCATGTTACGTGTGAGTACATTACTGTACTGTGCATGGGTTTGAGGGCACTGTAGCCCTTGTTAACGAGGAACGCCACCAATAAAGTATCTGTCGGTTCCCAGTTGGTCACTGTTAGGCCAGGGCCTTCTTCACCTACTGGTTGACTGAAACAGTTCGAGCTGAGCTGGCTGTCCATCTCTTCTACCTGAGTTCTATTTCTCAGCCTCAGGGTATGTGGGGTACTTCACTGTTTCTATCTTCTCTCGGACTTTGTAGGAGGGGTATAAACCTGTTCTTCCCAGTTTTCGGTTGACACCTTTAGAATAGCCATCCCAATGATTTCCGGCCACACCAATGATATCTCCGGGTTCCATGGGGATTTCCTCTTCAGTTCGAGGTTGGTGAGGATAAATAGCAATCTGGTTGTGGGCATTTTGACCCCCAAAATAGTAGATGTCATCTAAAGAATGAAAGTTTGCAGAGGCATCAGGATGCAGTGTTTGCATGATTTCATAAGCAACTCGACAGACCTTGGAAAAGAGTGGAAAAAAGTTTGTTAGGATAATATATAAATCACTTCTGCATAACTATCTGAAAGCCCTTGGCCAAAGATAGGCTCTAGGACTGAGAGGGGTAGCTTCTGGTTGTAAGCTCTCAATCCATTTGCTGTCATATAATAGTATAAGTTATTCTTAACCTTTGTGCTTGTACCTTTTAAAAAAACATAGGCACCCAAAAGATTATTATACTTAAGATGAGGAGACTATACATATTGGGTTTTCCTGGTACTGGGAATTGAACTCAGAGCCTCACACCTGGCAAGCAAGGCACTGTGCCACTGAGCTATATCCCAGCCCTTATATATTGTGCAAAGTAATTTAAAATATGAAATCAATTAATTTCAGTAAACCTTTATTAAGAGCTATACAATCATCCAGCCTGGGCACTGTGACACAAAAATGAATTTGTGCTTTGAAGAACTGAAGGTTTAGGGTTAGGACTGCAAATACTTGATGTAAGTGTGATTACTCTCTTTCTTCTAGCCACTGTTCATCACTTGTTCTTTTCTGCTAATTCAGAACTTGGTGTAAGAACCTTCCTGATCGAGATTTATGTAATTATTGACAATCAACTTGCATTGACAATTGAGAAAAAACACAGCTATCATTTCTGTTTAAAGAGTTTGAAGTATGCAGTGTAAACAATAGCACACTTGGACTGACATAAGCTGGGCTAGCCTTTGGATAAGATGCATCTGACTAGTGTAATTTTAAGGCTACTTAAAAGATTCCTCTGTCCAAAGTTTATCTTCCTTGTCCACTAAATGACAAGTGAAATTCTATAAACTCACCTTCATTCTTTCAGCTTAGTGCTTCAGGACAAAATTAAACTGTAACTATCTCCACAAAGAATAATGTTTTAAGCAATTAAAAAACAGATTCAGTATAAGGTAAATGGGTTTCAGAACCTCTTCTAAGAACAGGTGAAGACAGATGACAAAATTATTATTTTGCATAGGAAAATCTTCCTTTATACATCCTGAACTGAGAATACAACTCAGATGAAATTTTCCTAAACCTTCAGTTGAGGTCCTCTCAGCAAAAAAATGAATGCAAATCCCCCACACCCCATGCTTCAGAAGCTAAGACAGGGCAGGGGTGGTGGTGTCTAAACCTTATGAAGACTCTAGATTAAGATGTAATCCTCACGCATGCGATTTTTGCAACATCAAGCCTTCCATTTTTCTCCCTAGAATGGACTTCCATTGTTCTTGTATTGTCTACAATGGCTAATGGTCACCAGATCACTTCTTTCTGATTGTTGCCATATATTATAAAATTCTTTAAAGGACAGTATACAGAAGACAAAGTTTACACGATAAGACAGTTTAAAGACTGTTGAGGCACTACAAAGATATTAAACTTGTAACACTTTCTAATCATCTAGAATATGAGGCTATCATCAAGAAAAGTTGAGAGTCAGTTGTTTTGTTTTATTCTGGTCTGAGATTTGGTTCATAATACTTTATCTTTTGTCAGTCTTCTGATGTATGGCTTTAGTCTTCTCCCATTTTCTAGCATGCTCGTAGCATATATAAAAAGTGTGAAGATCAATTTCCTTAAAGTCAATACATGGATGAGATGTAAGTGAAAATTAAAGAAAAGATATATTTCCATCAATCTCCCTCAAAATATTCCCCTTCACTTTGCACACACTTATCCCATCATGCTTGCCGTTTTCTGAAGCAGTTCCGGAAGTCCTCTTTTGTGAGTACGGTATCTTTAGTTGTGCTGTTGTGGCTGCCTTGATATCCCTGAATAGGTTCAAAATGTTTGCCCTTCATGGTCATTTTGACTTTGGGGAAAAGCCAGAAGTCATAAGCTTCCTTACAGACCAGTCAATGAGGTTGATGAAAACACACCGTGATATTTCTAGGGTTTAGGGTATGGGTTAAAGCAGATAGTATGTTTGATACATTGCTAAGGACTGTTCTTGAGGGTTTACATGTAATAATCCCTTAGTCATCACACATAAAGAAAGCCAACTATGCAGTAAGTACTATTGTTATTACTATTTTTAGAAGTCAAAACAAAACACCCACAGTTAGGGAGGCTACATAATTTGTTCAAGGCCTCACAGCCACTCTGGGGTCGCTCTTGCTCTCTGCCAGTGAAGTTGATGGTGCTGATCCTAATTGTGGCCTTTTATCACACCCCATTTCTGGGGCATTTAAAAAATGATTCTAATATAGATTTCTGGCAAGGGAACTGCTACAATCCAACAACCAATTTCATTCTCATTGCAAAAAAGATTAAATTATACTAAATATTTCCCTCTTAAAAATATTTGCAAAAAATACTGAGGTGCAAGTTAAGTTTACAGCTTGGCCACTCAGTGCACCATCACTTCACAGCCACGAAGGCTACAGCTGTTAGTCACTGAACAAGGTGGTGATGGCAAACCTCTTAGAGCTTCTAATACAAACAGCACACTGCGGCACGTGTGCCCCACGTTTGCCATCACTGAAATAAGACGTGATATGGAGGTGGTCGTATTTGACAAACTGCCACTATCTATCTATCTATCTATCTATCTATCTATCTATCTATCTATATATATATATACACCCCTGACCACCCCACCACCACTACCACAGAAAAGGAAAAGAAGCTTCTCAAAGACAGGATCCTTACCCCAATTAGTAAGAAACATTAACAGTGGATTCCTTCCTGGGAACTTGAAGGCAAGGAAGTCTTCTGCTCTGATTAGCACTGTTATGTGACTGCTGTTTTATATAGCTGTCTTTGGGTATTAAGATGTATTCTTCTTCTTACAAAAGAAACCTATAGTCTTTGCCTGGGTAGCTTTCTGATACCCATGCTATTGTGACAATACACTTTATCATTTCTTTTTTCTCTCAAACATATCCTCATGGAAATGATGTGGCTTTTCTTCTTCATGTTTCTATGCTTCCTCTCAACATTTAAATGTATATTTATCTTATATTAGTTTATATTTTTTGGTAATTATTCTCTAGTTGTTTTGTGCATGCATTTTGATTCTGAATGAGGGCAAGAACTGTATCTTTAATCTCCTCTTTGTCCTAGTACAATTTTGAGTACAAATAGTCAGCAGCTGTTTAAATAAACTACCAAAAATCTGTGCACAAATGAGAAAGGAGAATAAAATTGACAATAAATGATATTTGGGTACTCCACAGGTCACACACGCTGATTGGGTCACTTATAAAACACGCACACTAAACCCATAACCAATAACTACATGCAACAATTAAACTCAATGCAACAATTAAACTGCATGATTACTGCATCAAATTTAACATACAATTTCTTGCTTAGAAATGTAATATAGGACTTCAAAATGGATTACATTTACTCTTTCTTATTTAAGGCAATCAAATGAGGCAAAATGCTTGACATTTAGCTCTCTCCGTATACTGATATGCTGAAATGAATGGACTCTGGTTACACACCGACTGCATGCAAAATCAGAAGATAGTAAGTGTGCTTAGTTATTCACTGTTTCTGTTAAGTGCTGTGAACAAGTCAAGTATGTTGAACAACTCCACCACCCGGCTTTAGTAAAGATGTACTCAACCAGTGCCTGCAAACAGCTAGGTATTCAAAGTGCTCAAATAGTTACGGAATCTTCACTCTTTCATAAAAGGTATCATTACTAAATATTAGGAAAATTTACCTGAGTCATGATAACTAACACTAAAAACATACAGAGACACAAATAATACTTTTCCTACTGTCAATATGACCAAAAAGTATCAATCATTTAAATGTCCTCTACCACCACGTACCTGGGATGAAAAAGTACACACAAGGAAGTCTGCCTGGGACAGAAAATGTATATCCAGGATCACACCCCGAAGGGAATTTTCTGTGTACCGATTGTGCAGTCCAGCTGACCAAGAGATAGAGTTATCACTAATAAATTCGTAATTGGGATACCTGGGAGAAAAATAAATTGATACATGGTCACTGCAATCACAGTATAGCCTATTGGGAAACTTGCTTTTTTGATCACAAGCAGCTCTCCATCCGTGAGAAGAGCTTCGATTACGGCACTCAATAGAACACGGTAGCTTCTGAGGCGTCTTTGAACCAATCAGCGGGTAGAAACCATCTGGAATGTCCTGTGTATTAAATATTATTGGTGTAACACTTAAAACACACATCAGAATATCCTTTATCCATTCATGAAAGAGTTAAAAACTTAAGGCTCCTTATTCTGTTTGTACTGAATGCCCTTCGGAGAGTTTATTCAAGCTGTTTTCATACTTGATTATTGAACTCTTACTTTAGAATATAAATATCATGGTAATTTTTCATTTAAATTTTTAATTTATAATTTGTGTAATTCAGATTTTGGTTGAACTTTGTAAATGTCTTCATTGAAATTACAAATTAATGATACAAAGAAATTAGGAGTTGAATATTTTAAAAATCTGTGAGAACCAATGGTCTACCTCCCATCCTTTCTGAAGAACCATCTGCTCTTAACCATAACAATAATGGAAAGCCATTCTCATGAATTTATGAAGCAAATTCCTTGTAGGTGCCCACCACATAATATGTTGTTAATCTCATTTGAGATAGGATATATGTTTAAAAATATTCAAACAGATTATCTTTAAGAAGTACCACCTCTTCAAATGATTCTCCTTGGAATGAGCTGTTTAGATCTGTTTTAGTACATGAGGCAGACCTTCAGAGTGAAGTTGTAAACCTTGGGCAGTTACCTGAAAAGGGGATAATAACTGTCTGTGCTTTACATAATTTCCTAAGCATTACTACATTGTGACATAACATGCTTAAATGAGTATCTGATGGACTGAATGCTCAACTGTGATTACGAAAATGTTCACCCGAATATACACCTGATTTTATTTCTTACTTCTTCAGGTCTCTGCTCAGTATCACTGCATCGGTGAGGAGTCTGACACTCCCTGTCCCTTTTATCTGCCTTGTGCTTCTCCATGCTTCTTACTGCCATCTCATGTGTATTTACTGCCTGCATCTACTGCCCACCATCACCCCTGACTGAATACAAGCTCTCTGAAGGGAGGTATCTCATCTGCTCCATTCACTGGATTGTTCCAGCAACTAGAACACCATCTGTAATACAACAGAAGGTGAATGAGTATTTCCTAAAAGAGTAATAGTTCTTATTTAGACATTCTGAAACACTAGGAGTCAGCTCACGTTTACCCTCCAGACAATATTCCCCGAAGGTCAGAATCCTGCCTTACTTTTGTTTGCATCACAGCACCTACCATTCCACACAACGCTGTGTGAAAAATACATGGACGAGCAAGCACTCCCTGTCTGGGATTTTATCCCAATCTCCTAACAGTTGCATCAGATTTCTCTTCACTTCATGGCCACCAAAGCGCTTTCCCTTATTGCCTCTCTAATAATGACTGTTAAAGTCAAGTCTCTGAGCATTGTTTCAGACTGATATTCAATGATCATATCTTTTGGGGCTTATTATCTTTGACATTTTGCCCTCCTCAGCTTAGAATCGGGGAGATGAAGAAAATGTCACATTTGCTTAAAAAACAAAAATAACCAGAAATATTTAAAATGATTCCTATACAGCTACAAACCCAGGCATAGGGCAGAAACAGTAACATATATGAAAATGCTAGAGGGTGGAAGAGAAGGGGAGCTAATAAGAACAGTTCAAGCTTTATAACTGTGAATGAAGACTGTCAGCATAGTTTGGGTGCTCAGTGAAACAAAGAAAGGAGTGATAGATGAGACTAACATTAATGGCCTTAAGGACCCCCATCATCCATTAGGACCTCCACTAAGGACCTAAGAGGTCCTTCTCTAAAGCCAAATCAAAAAGGTACTGAGCTTTCACAGGTTTTCCCCTGTATATAAAAGATGGCATCATGAAGGCTACCGACAGTAAAAAACCAAACCAAAGTGAGCACTGGGAGATTTCCCACCTCCAATAATGAGCAAATATGCTCTTAAAAAACAAAATATGCTTCTTAACAAACAAAAAAATAAAAACAAATTTGCTCCTTGTCTCTTGCCCTTAGGTATGCTGACACAGGAATTCTGCCTGGAGGTTTCAGGGACTGATAATGATAAAATACTTTTCTATTTTGTAAAAGTTTATTTTTATATCACCCACAACCAACTTGCAGTTATAAACTAAAAATCAAATTTCCATTTCTGAAATCTTTCTCTAAAATGAAAGAGATACTCTTTCTGATTTCACTGTATCTGTTATATGATTCTTTCAGGACACTTCTTTAACTATGCTATAATTATATAAATATTATATAAATTATATGAATATATTTATATATTATTTTAAGTATTCTCTGATATAAGGAGCCACATACTAGCTTTTATTTGTCTTTGTAGTCCCAGCGCCATGTACTGTGTCTCACATGTTACAGAGTTCAAAACAAAGTAGTGAATAAATATGCCACTCACCCCTGATTCTTCATTTCACAGGGCAACCAAATAATTTATAAAAACTTTTAAATATTTTTTCTTATCTTTATTCACTGTAACGTACCCAACTTTAGAAAGCTCATCTAGCACTTTTGATAATGAATAAACTAGATAAGTAAATATTTCACGTGGGAGTCTTTTAAAAAGCTTGATTATCTTCCTGTTTCACCCCTCCCTTAATCTTCACAATCTTGGAAAACAATACTGAGTTGACAAATTTAATAGTTCTGTGATTTAAATTGTAATATTGGGAATTGGTTATCATATTAAAAATGGCTGTTATAGGCACTGGAATGCTGATGCTAAAATCCTGTGGTTGAACTCAATGAACCTACAGAAATCTAAGATGTAGTATCAAGCTGAAAGGATTAATTGTGCATTTTCACACAGAATCCCTATGTACTGTACAGCTAATCTTGACTCCTTCTTCAAAGGGTAAGTTACCCAGAAAATGGCTTCTTTTATTTGTATGAGGTCTATGCATCATTTAAATTTAATTCTTTATCTCTGCTCTCTCTTGAAGCTGAAAAATCTTACCTTGGATATACCTGTTACAGGGCTAATTCATGATTTTGGTCTCCTATAACAATGGCAGAGGTTTTCTAATTTACTTAGTTATCAAAACCAGTTGTGAGAGGTCTAAAACGGTTATTCTGAGTGGGGAAATACATAAGTAAAAGAATGAAGCAGAGAGCATTTAGATTCCTGAGAGTATTTTCAAAATGACTTGGAAAATTAAAATGAAAAGATTGGCAAAGAAAAGTTATGCATAAAGTGTTACTACTATGTTTACAACAGAATATGGAGAAAACCACTGCCTAGATTATCACACAAGGAGAGAAAACACAGCTTCTGACTACACAGAAGAAATGAAAGTTTTAGTATTCCTACAGTTCAAATAAATCACTGCCAATATACTACAAGGGTTGGCTGGTAGAAAAATGTCACGCTCGCCAGGAATGCCTATAATCTCAGCTACTAGGGGAGTAAGGCAGGAGGATCACAAATCTGAGGACAATTTGGGTAATTCAGTGAGACCTTCTCTCAAAAAAATAAATAATAATAGTAAAGAGACGTTGCTCAGTTGTAGAGTGCTCCTGGGCTTGATTGCAAGTGGGGCGTACTGCAGGGAAGTCATGCTGTGGTATTAGATCAACACTGTAAAATATTTGCTTCTCTTAAATACTTCAAAGTCTAGATATCTAGTTATAAGAACTAATGTAGATAATTTTAGGCATACTGTTATTATTTATAAGAGTAAAAATTGAGTTAACACAACTGTCTAAAAATAGAATGTTAGATCAAGTAAGCAATGGGAGATCTATACAGTAAATATATACCCACTTAAAAAGATGTTCACACTTCGTCTCTTAGGATACAAAAGTCTGAAAGGGAAAGGATGGAAAAAGAGCCATGCAAACAGAAACCAAAGCAAAGCAGCAGTGTCTCTATTCACATCAGACACTTTAAATGAAAAACTCAAGATTATTACATAATGAGAAAGGTGTTGATTCTCAACCAGTTACAATCGTAAATATACATGCGAAATATGCACTCAACATCAGCATCTAAATAGAAAAAGTAATACAGTATTAACAGATCAGAAAGATAGGTAGCTGCAATATGAAAGTACCAGGAAATCTTAATACTCTAAACACTGGAAAGATTTAGACAGAAAATCAATAAGGAAACATTTTTATAGTATCTTCCATCCAAAAGCAAAAGAATACACACTCTTTTCAAGTGCACCCCGAATATTCTACAGAATAGATCATACCTTTGTCCATAAAATAAGTCTTAAGAAGAAGATTAAAAGTGTGTTTTAGTATGTTTTTCAGTCATGGCATGAAATTACAGATTGTTAACAGGAGGAATACTGGAAAAACTCACAAATATGTTTAATTCAAATATTCTCCAAAACAACCAGAAGAAATTTAAAAGTATTTTGAAAGAAATCCAGGAACATGACATGACAAGACTTAGAAGCACAGCAAAAGCAGTTCCCAGAGGGAAGTTTATAGCAATAAGCACATCAAAAAAGGAAGATCTCAAATAAGTAATCTAATGTTACACTTCAAGGAATTAGAAAAAGAACAATAAACTAAGCCCTAACTTTGCAGAACAAAGAAAATAACAATGATCAGAATAGAAAGACAAAATAGATTACAAAAATATTTCAAAAGATCATAGAAGTTAATAGTCGATTTTTTTGAAAAGATAAAATCAACAAACCTTTAGCTAGACTAAGAGAAAAAGAGAAGATTCAAACAAACTCAGAAATGAGAAATGAAAATCATACATGCAGGACTACAACTGATACTACAGAAATACAAAGGATTATCACAGACTATCCTGAACACATATATAATAACAAACTGGGTAATATAAAGAAATACTGTAAATGAATTTTTACAAATAAGCCAGAAATATAAAATCTGAATGGAACAATAAAAGGAGATTGAATCAGTAATCAAAAGTTTCTGGCCACAGAGAAGTCCAGGGCCTGACAGCATCACTGTTGAATTCTATCAAACACCTAAAGAACTAATATCAACCCATCTCAAGCTTTTCCTAAAAACTTAAGGGGAAGAGATACTTCCAAATTCATTTTACAAGCCTAGGATTACCCCGATACCAAAGCCAAACAAGGACATAAAAAGAAAAGAAAATTATAGGCCAATATCCTTGATAAACAGGTACAAAAATCCTTCACAAAATATTAGCAAACCAAATTCAAAAGCACATCAAAAAGATCATGCACCATGAGCAAATAAGACTTATCAAGAGTGATGCAAGGGTGACTCAATACATGTAAATCAATAAATGTGAAATACCTTAGCAGAATGAAGAACAAAAACCATGATTAATCTCAACAGATGTAGAAAAAGCATTTGACAAAATTCAGTATGTTGATGATAAAGACTCTCAAAAACTGGTATAGAAACAGTATCTCAACACAATAAAGGCCATACATGATGATGACGCCACAGATCACATCATACTTAATATTAATAGTGAAAAGATAAAAGTATTTCCTCAAAGTTTGGGAACAACAGCAGAACATCCATTCTTGCCATATCTGTTCAACATAGTATTAGTTGGAATAATTAGGTAAGAAAGAAGGGGTGTCCAAATACAAAGGGAGGAGGGGGAAACTGTTTGCTAAAGACACAATCTTTTATACAGAAAGCCCTGAGGACTCCACCAAAAAACTGGTAGAACTGATAAAACAAAATAAAGCTGTGGGTCACAAAACCGACACATATAAAAATCAGTAGCATTTCTGTACACCAACAACAAACTATCTGAAAAAGAAATTAATAATCCCATTTATAATAGCATCAAATAGAACAAAATAAAATACTTGGGAGTAAACTCAACCAAAGAAGTAGAATTTCTGTACTCTGAAAACTGTGAAACATTGATTAAAGAAACTGAAGACACAGATGAAAAGACAGCCTATGTTCAAGCAGTGGAAGAATTGGTATTGTTGAAACTACCCAAAGTAATCTACTGACTCAGTGCAATTCCTATTAAAATTCCAGTGTCAGTTTTCACAGAAGTAGAAAAAACCCTGCAATTTGTATGGAACCACAAAACACCCCAAATAATTAAACCAAAAAGAAAAGCCCAAAGCTACTATAATCAAAACAGCATGGTAGGATAAAAACAGACATAACGAACAATGAAACAGGACAGAACAAAACCAAGAATTTATGGTCGCTTGATTTTCCCAACAGGTGTCACAAGTATACAACAGGGTCAGATAGTCTGCTTAATAAGTTGTGGTGTGAAATTGGATACCCACATATAGCAAAATTAAACTGGATCCTTATCTTGTGCCATATACAAAAATCAACTCAAAATGGATAAAAGATTTTTGTTTAAACATAAAATCAGAATCTGTAAAACACAAGAAGAAATGTGGTGAAAAAACCCTTAAAGCACAGGGCAACAAAAGTGAATGGGACTGTATCAAACTAAAATACTTCTATACAGCAAAGAAAACAATTAGCCAGGTAAAGAGACATCTAGAGAATGGGAAAAGATTTGGGAACCATACATTTGGATAAAGGGCTAATCTCCAAAATATATAAGGAACTCAAATACTCAACAGCATGAAAACAATCTTATTTTAAAAGAATCTTTATTTTGAAAAGCGCAAAGGATCTGAACAAAGAGGTCCAACGAATATATTTAAAAAATGTTTAATCCTTCTAATAACCAGGAAAATGCAAAAAAAGAATCTCATGAGGTATTACCTCATACCTTTTAGAAAGACTGTTATCAGAAAGACAAAAGATAATAACTGTTGCTGAGGATGTGAGGCAAAGGGAACCCTTGTGCACTGTTGGTGGGGATGTAATTAGTATAGCATAGTTATTATGGAGTATAGAGTTTCCTCAAAAACGTAAAAATAGAATTATCCTATGAACCAGCAATCCCATTTCTGGATATATACCCACAGGCACTGAATTGTATATATCAGTATGGGTATCAGGAATTGTATGTATCAGTAAGTCAGAAATATCTGTATTTCCATATTCATTTCACTAGTATTCACAGTAGCCAAGATATGGAAACCAACATGAAGGGATAAAGACATGGATACAGAAAATGTGGCATATATTTACAGTGGAAGACCACACAGCCTCAAGAAGGAAACTGTTATTTGTGACAGCATGGATAAAAACTGGAGGACACTGTGCTAAGTGAAGTAAGCCAGCCACAAAAGAAAAATACTGTGTAATCTTACTTATAAGTAGGATTTAAAAAGTCAGCCTCTAAGAGTAGAAAGGTGCTTACCAAAAAAGCTGGAGTGAGTGGGGCAGGGAAAGGGGGAAGAACTAGAAAAGGATATATGCTGAAAGGGTTCAAAGTCTCAAATTAGAAGACAAAGTTTTAGTGATCTATAGCAGTGTATAGCAACAACAGTTAATAAGGTATGGTTCATATAAGAATTACTAAAATAATAGATTTTAAAACATTCTCTTCCTCCAAAAATGGTAAGATGGGGAAGTGATGGACGTTAGTTTGACTGAATCCATATACAGATCAAAACATCGTATTGCACTCTTTTCTAACAAATAAATGACCCCTTACTCGTGACTTGAGAAAATGGACCTAGTGCTATATTAATAGAAAAAATGAATTGAAACTCTGCAGAATGCCATCAACTATTTAAAAACGTATACCTGGGGGGAAATGTCGATATTTAAACAGCTGTTGCCACTGAATAATGGGATGGTGAGTAATAATTTTTCTCTGTTTCCATTATTTAACAACTTTTGTATTTTCTAATGAATTATTTTTCTGTAATCAATGAAAAAAACTTGTGATGCATTCAAGAACAAGTGAGAGAGCAGACAAAACTGATAATATTTTCATGAAGCCACAGACGCAGTGTGATGCTTTAACATGAGGGAACATGGTGAACTATTTCTACTTTGTTTCTCTCTAATATATCTGAACATTAAACTGAAGAACTGAAAATTTCTTATTATGTTTTGTTCCCAAATGTTCATTTAATCCCTCTTACATTAACTAATTTTTGTACTTGGCTGATGAATTTCTTCTCCCTCTGTATTTTACCTGCATTATAGGCTTTATTCTTAATTTGTTTCTTTTTGCCATTCCAACTGTGACAGAGAAAAGGAACAAAGAAATACATTAACTAGCCAAACAGTTTAAATGATTCATTGCTAACAAAATGTTTTCAAACTAATGGGACTGAAAGAAGCAAAATTCAGTATTTACTGGGCATGAACACCTAAGTATTAAGTTCAAAGTGGATATAATTTAGTCAAGAAGACAGAAGTAAACAAGGGCTAAATACTGTGGCAGAGTAACATGTGTGAAGGAAAACAGTTCAGTGGTAGGTTCAGGTATGATTTTTGGAGGGGATGATACCTGAGCAGAGGTAAGACTATGATTGTCTTTCTCTTTTGTTTCCTACCTTCATGCATATTTAATATTAACAGTAAGTAAAGGCCAATCCCAGGTTTCATCAGGATCCTATCATAAGAAGTTTCCAATTAGAATAAGTGCTTTGCCTGTGTTTTCGTAACAGCCTATGCTAAACCCACAGAAGCATCACTCACACTGTAGGTAACTGTCTACTCCCTCACCAGAGTGGGTTTTCCTTAAGAGCAGCAAGTCTCCTACTCATAATGGAGACCCCAGCACCTAGCACAGTGCCTGAAATACACACAGGCTCAAATAATAATGGTTACTGTTCAGTGCATGTTATAGAATTTGTTTCTCCACTTACAAATTTCATCTTTTAATTCTTTACATTTTGTAGCATACATTCCAAATTTCAGAAATTTTTATAAGATAAAAACAATTTATTACATGTATTCTGTTGCCTGTAATTATCAGTGAAGACAGATCAAAAGGGCAAAGACCTAGTGTGTTTCATTACCTGCAGTTCTGCATGGCTGGTTAATGCTATGGACTGCATGTTAGTATACCCCCAAATTCATATGTTGACTCCTTAACCCCATGTGATGGTTTTGGCATTTGGGAGGTAACTAGGGTTAGGTGAGTTCATGAGGTTAACGCCATCTGGATGGGACTAGAGTCCTTTTAAGAACAAAAACATCAGAGAGCCTGCTATCTCTTTCTCAGCACACACAAAGAAGAGACCACAGGAGTACACAGTGAGATGGTAGCTGCCTATAAGCCCAGCAAACAGGCTTCAGAATAAAATCTACCTTACTAGCACCTGGATTTTCAATATTTCAGCCTCTATAATTGTGAGAAATAAATTTCTGTCATTCAAGTCACCCAGTTCTATAGTATTTTGTTATGGCAATTCTAGCAGACCAATACTTTGATACCAAGAAATGGGTGATGGCATTTAACGATGATCACTGGTAATGATGGCAATGGTGCAGTTCACTTTGGATTTACTACAAGGCATCAGATAATAAAGTAGCTCTGATTAGATTAATAGCTATGCAAACACATAGTCATTTAAATTATACAAATGCAATAACTCATAATATTATAATAAAAATCACATGGCATGGGAATTAAGGATTCTTTTCCATTATGAGACAACCCCACCCAAGAACCACTAGTTGGTCTAACTTACTTTGTTTTTGCCTCCTTTAATAAAGAAGGGTCATCCGTGGCCAGATACACTCTTTTTTTATCCACTTGCATTCTGCGTGCGAGAAGCTGAAAGTGTTCTTCAACGTGCACCATGTACTCCTCAATGGGGTGGAAGGCTGCTTCTGTTCCCACTTTGTCTGTGCGTCTGACATGGACTCTGGGGGAGAAATTCAGATTCTGCTGATAATGCACGCATTTACCTGGTGACAAAGGGACTCTATTTATTTATTTATTTATGTTTTGGTCTTTTTGAGACAGGATCTTGCTATGCAGTTCAGGCTGGCCTTGAGCTCACTTTGTAGCCCAGGCTGGCCTTGAACTCGCAAAGATCCTCCTGCCTCAGCCTCCTCCAGAGTGCTGGTATTACAGACGTGCACCACCATATCTAGCCCTAAAAGAACTCAATTTATACCCCTACTCATTTTGGGCAATTTTAACCATATTTTTCTTTCATTTTTATAAAATAAAACAAATATTCTGAAGAGTTTCATGTATATTTTAATATATTTTCATGTTAAACAATACAAGGGGAATTAGATAACAAGGAAAGCTCTTGAAGAATGCTTTCTTATAGAGCAAGTAATTGATATACCAGGAATAAATGGGAGATTTCAAAATTACACTTCATAATAGAAGGCAAAATACCCACTGGATTTCCAACAAAGAAATGGATTTAAATTTCTGGGTTTTGAGATCAAGATGATACCACGATTCACAATTATTACAGAACAGTAAAGTTACTATTTGTAATGTTCTGATGTCAAGATTTTGTTTCTTCATTTTACACTGCAGAGTTACTATAGCTGCTAGCTTGCAGAATTTTAAGTTGTTTAGGGAAAACACAGATCCATGTGGACCTTTTTAAAAGAAAACAAAAACAAAAAAACTTGCTAAGTGTGATGGGGCATGCCTGTAATCCCAGCACTTGGGAGGCTGAGGCAGGATGACTGCCAGGAGTTCAAGGCCAGCCCAGACTACATAGGGAGTCCAGGGGGTCAGCCTAAAAGTATATATCGCCACCCTGCTTCAAAAACAAAACAAAACAAAACAAAACACCCCAGAAAACCTTTTACTACTTTAAGTTCATAGAGCCATTCCAGTCCTATTGTTGTATTTATAGATAATTTTCCTTCTGTTTTTTACTGTCAATGCTAGCACATACAGATCTGATCTGTCTTGCTTAAGAAAACCCTAAAATTGTAAAATTTGGTACAGGTTTGCATTGTCCTACACTAAGATACAGACTTCTAGAGCACGCTCTCCCCATCCTAGTGCTTCCAAAGTTATTTTAATGGAAAGAATAAAAACATTCATTTTTAAAAGACTCCTTAAATCTGTTCCATGTCTCTTTCTAAACCACTACTTGTGGAGAAAAGGGAAAATGGTACACTTGTTTAATGGCAGGCTAAGGCAAAGGCCCACTGATGAATCTGGAGAGAGGCTTTGATTTCTCTGGGTTCCTTTGCTATCTTCATGACTATTCTTTCCTGTAGATTCCAGACTACAGTCACACGAACACCTATTTTGTCACCTTTTCCTCACCACATTCTTCTTACTGTTCTTCTTGGCAATTAGAATTGTTCCACACGCTCTATATAGATGAAGTGGGGCAGAAAGAATGACTTCACTGATGTCAATGGAAAGTTGCATGAGCTGAAATACTAAATGTTCTGATTTCACCATGTACATACTTTTTCTAAGCTCTAACATTAATAGGGAACAGTAACTTCCTTCTGTACAAAAACTAAGACACAAGATGTAGAGTGGGAAACATAAACACTAAAAATGAGGGAGATATGTGATAATAGGAGGAGGAGCCAAAGGGAGGGAAGCATTTAGACACTAAAAGAGCACTGTTAAGCAATTCTTTCTGCTGTGCTAAGTGAACAAAGGAAGAATAACCATCCTGTGTCCTCAGGTGAACTCTGCTCAAGGGGCTGCGATTATTAAACTATATATTGTAAAGCTCATTGTACTACGGGAAGTTAGAGTCCTGCTGCTGTATGTCACTGAGGGGGGAAAAAAACAGATTCTTACCCAATAACTGGATGCTTGAAGCCAAGCTTCTTGGTGGCCTCTTCTATTTCCTTTTCCAGCCAAGGTTGTGGGCGGATCAAATATTTGACAAACTGAGACACCCACCACACCGCAGGGTCACCATGGACTCGTAGGAGTCGATCTGCGAGATCTTCTGGCACAGCCAAGGGTAAATAAGGAGGACGGGGATGAAGACTGTCTACAATGGGGAGCTCGACCACTTGAACATTTTTGTCCTTGACTTCACCTGATAGAATATCAAAACATATCATCACCACACTGTATTTCTCTACCATGTAACAAGAACTCACTCTGGGTACATTCTCTCTCATAGCAACTCTAAAGAAGTATTACAGTTTTCACCTTACAGCGGAGTTAAATAACTTGCCTAAGGAACTGGAACAAAAATGACAGAGCTAAACTGCAGGGTGGTATGCCTTCGCTAAACATTTCTCTCATCCCGTCACATTATCACCTCATACCCCAAGTTACAATGACATCCAGAACTCAAAATATCTAATCAGAGTATAGCCATATTGCCAGTAGACACATATAGATACCAAAATTCTGTTTTTGTTGTTATTGCTGTTTTGGAATTAGAAAATAAAGTATCTCCAGACTTCCAGCTTGTCGTTATAGCAAATGGTTCTTGCATTACTTTCATGACAGAGCAGAATGACTCTTGAAATACCTAAAGATTATAAGCCACACATCTATATCTTTAAAAAAAAATTAGATAATTTTAAATTATTTTTCTTAGATAAAAATAAATCTACTATAGTTTCAACTATGATAATAATAATCTGTGTTGTTTACCTGGATATTAAAGTTCAACAAAGATTTGATATGAATTTTTATACATGATAATTATTTTCAGATAGTTATCTGAATACACCATTAATGTTATTGTTATTCTATCAAATTTATAATGTGATCATAAGAATATATCACAATACAATAGCCAGCATCTCTAGAATTTACTTTACATATTAAAGACCATATAGTAATAAAAGGAGACAGAAAAATATAGGCAGAGACACTGAAGTGAATTTTTAATAACAGAAAATATTAGCACAACATACAAAATCACTCCAGTTAAGTTCCTACCTTTGTGCATAAAAATTATAATAATAGGCACTGAACCATTAAAGAAAGAATACATTTGTAGAGAATAAACCTAGAATATGTTTAAAATGCATTTACCGGGGTGAAACATAGTTTGTTTCTGTTATTCTACATATATATGCAAAACGTTTTACAGTAGAGAACTTGGGAAGTAGTCAATAAAATAAAATAAAATTGTAGTCAATAAAATTAACTGCATGGTTTTTAGCTTAGCACAACTAAGAATTAAAATCTTCTGGTTAACAGTCTCTCTTCTGATATGTAAAATTTCTTTCATGAATCTAAGAACAAAAATCCTTCAAACATGACACTTGTTACATGAATAAATGGCAATAAAAATTACCATCAGTAATGCAGTTCATTTGGGTCAGTTAAGAAAGAACTGGGCCTCTTAATCAGATGAGAGAAACTGTAATTAAGAGTATGAGGGGAAAGAATGAACCGTATTTTAAATTGAGCTGTAATAGTCTCCTCTAAGGTAAGGGAAACGGGTGCTTTCCTGATGTGCAGCAGATCAGAGAGTACATCAGAGAAAACAGAAAGAATAAAAGAAGAAGGGGAAAGGTAGTTCTTTTTTTATAAAAAATAAAGGAAGCTCCTTGTGTCTTACATGTAACCATAAATCCTGTTTTCCCTAAGTAAAAACAAAATTAATAAGGCTGTTTTCCTTTTGTGATTTCTTCCTAGCAAGGTTATTCTAGGTGTTTAACTAGCTCCAAATTTCACTTTTATGAAAATCTTTTCATCCAATTACTTTGAGGCCTCAACTACCTTAAAGCTGGTTTTATTTACAGTTTTAAGAAAGAAATAAAAACTGTACTTATACCTGTAAGACAGATAACTCAGTTTGTTCTGCTGATTATTTATTCCTTCAACTTTGTTCAAGCATCTGTTGAACACTTCGATGTGACTAACACTGTGGTAGTCAGAATACACAGTGATACTAGGCTTCTTGCTCTCCCAGCTAAAATAGCTCAAGGAATTTTGAAAACTGTACCCAGACCAGACTGCTTTAAGGGAACCCTCCAAAAAAAATACATCACCGCCAACATGCTATCAAAAAGATACCAATATTCAATTGCCTAGTTAAATGTTTTTAAAAGATATTTATATTTAGCAATCACTAAACTGGCATAGAATAAGTTTATTGTCCTCAACAATGGTATAATTAAAAGTGAAGAAAACAAAATATTTACAAGGTAGCTTATTTACCTGGTTTACCATGCAACATCTTTTATTCTACTGGAGTACATGTTTAAAAAAATTATAACTTGTAAAAAATTCTAGCAATGACAGTCTTTTCTGAATTTTAGTCATTTGTACCACATTTATGATTTCTGACTATCATATATCACTTGGGCTATTTAATATTTTTAAAGTAGATTTACTTTTTAAGTGAATCTATTTATAAATATTAAACATAAATATAAATCCACTGAAACAAAAACCATGTTATTAAATTCTGTATGGAAAGTATTGCTAATAGAGGTCTCTCATGCCAAGCCAGATTTCTATTAGAAAGGGAGGTTATTAGTCAGGTTTTTAAAATTTAGTATTAGTGAGTGAGGTGATTTTGTGCTTTGGATTTATGGCATCAAGCTTGCTAATTATTCCCATTCTATCCTAAGCAGAGTTTATTAACCAAAGCCCTCCACATAATTTCAAAATGCATTATAAAGTGATTATAATCAAAACAGCATGGTTCTGGGATTTAAAACAGATACTAACCAATGGAACAAGAAACAGGATAGAAAACCTCAAAATAAATCAAAGTATTTATGGACAACTAATTTTTGACAACGGTGCGAAGAATATAAAATATTTGTCTTTGGTAAATGGTGCTGAGAAAACTATATATTCACATGTAGGAAAATGAAAAAGGACTCTTTTCTCACACCATATATAAAATCAATTCAAAATGGATAACAGACTTAAATGTCAGATCAGAAGCTATAAAAACTACTAACACACACACACACACACACACACACACACACACACACGAGGGAAAACCTCTATGACCTGGGTCTGGGCAATTATTTCTTGGATAGGATTTTAGCACAGGCAACAAAAGCAAATTAGACATACGGGACTGCACTGAATTAAAATGCTTCTGTACATCAAAGGAAACTGTAGGATGAGGAGACAATGTAGAGACTGAGAAAAATGTATGCAAAACATGTAACTGGATAAAGTCTAACCTCCAAATACATAAGCAACTCAAACATTCAACAGCAGGAAAACAAGTTTACTCAAAAATGGGCAAAGGATCCCAACAGACATTTCTCAGAAGAAAATGTCTAAATGGCCAACAAAAGTATTTAAAAATGCTCAACATCTCTAATCATTAGGAAAATGCAAATTAAAATCATAATGAGATATCCCTTCATTCCTGTTAGAATGGCTGTTATAAAAAAGACAAAGGACAACAAGTGTTGTTGAGGATGTGAAGAAAATGGAACCATAGTTGTGGTATGTAAACTGTGCACTGTCAGTGGCATGTAGATTTTGAAACCTATGTAGTTTTAACACAAGCAAAGGCATCTAAGTATGA